CGTTGATTAGTGAGATCGGATGCTTGCACTTGCACTCGAGGAGAAATCGCAGCCAACCAACCCTTATCGCTCATGCTTCCTACTTTCGCTACTTTTTCACCGATATACACTCTCCGTGATGATGAAGATGATGAAAATGATGATTACTATCTAATTGTGGCCGTGCAGATTTTCGTGAGCCTGAAGGAGGATGCATGAACGAAGAAGGAAATAGCAAGATGGTATAACTAGGAATGGTGTTTCCTGTCTGGATCTTCTTTTTTTTCTTCTCTATCCTCAGCATCATCAAACAAAGGCCTCTTCTTCACTTCACTTCACTTCACTCTGGGAGATCTCAGACACTGGTTTGTCTGAATCTTTCCTTCTTTTCGGTTTTTCTTCTTTTTTATACCATATTTTCGCAAAATATCTTTTACCTTTTTATCATAGTTCCTAAACTTCCTTCAATCACCCAAACCGCAACAATGCTCCACATCAAGAGCTTCATATCCCTGCTCCTCCTCCTCCTCCCCTTCCTCCACTCCGCCCTCGCCCTCGACCTCGCGATCGAAGTCCTCAACGCCGGCCGCAACCACCAAGTCTGGGGCTACAAAGGCAAAATCACCCTCGACGCCGTCCCCGACGACGACATGCTCATCTCCATCGCCAAAACAGCCGCGATCCAAATGCGCACGGCCTACGAGACCGACTACGGCGACGGCAAGATGCCCACGGCCATGTCTGCCTTCAACGACGGCTCCACCACAGTGTGGTACCACTCCTCCATGAAGAACTCCTCCCCCGGCGCAAACGCCCTCAAGCAAGCCGGGAGGCTGATGGCGGTCGTCGAGGCCGCGCTGGCAGAGTGCTCCGGCCACCCGAACGACGGCAACTGCGGGGAGGTCGCCGTGATCAATTACTACCTTGTCGACACCGGGGCTGCGAACGTGCCGCAGGGCGCGGTGTGCAAGATCGTGACTGTGAGTATCTTTGCGGGCACGGCGGCGCCGGAGGTGATTGATCCGTGCGGCTCGGGGAAGCCGAAGACAGGGTGCGCAAAGTTCCTCAACAAGATGGGCCTGTCGAACTCGTGCGTGGTCAAGCGGAATGTGCTGAGTGCTGGACCTGGGCCCGCATACCACAAGCGTGCGATTGTGGTAAGAAGTACCGGGCTCCGCAGGCGTGCAGAGAAGATCAAGAAGATCAAGGCGACGGTGACGGATAAGCTGAAGGTGTGGGCTTCGTGTGTGAAGAAGGCGGCCACGGGGGGGGCGGCAAAGAGTGGAACTACCAAGACAGCTGGCAAGAAGACGGATCAGAAGGTTGTGGCGCCGAAGGTTGCAGCTGGTGCGCCGAAGGTTGCAGCTGGTGCCCCGAAGGTTGCAGCTGGTGCCCCGAAGGTTAAGGTTGCAGCTGGTGCCCCGAAGGCTGGAGCTTGTATCCTGCCAAAGAAGATCGTGAATGGACAGTGCAAGTAAAATGCAATGGATGGACGGTGGTGCAAAAAGAAAAAAAGTGTTTCTGTTCTGTTTCGGTATTCGCATATGGGCATTTTCTGGACTTGGGTCGACCAAGGGGTTTCTTCTTCCTTTTCCTTTTTTCTTTCTTCTTCTTTCCCATTTCCTTTACAATCATGGTCAATTTTTTAGAATATATGTATTAGCATTATCTCTTTTGTCTGCCGTATGCATCAGTAGCTATAGAGATACAATAATGAACCTTCTCATTACCTTGAAGCCTTTTTATCACTTGTATCATGATGCAGATGACTCCGGATCCCATTGAAAGCAAACCTGATCTCGATTAAAAAATAAATGTGATTTACAGACTACATACTCCCGTTATTAACATACCCGACTTCAGCTGGTTCATGCATAATTATATTCCTGATAGCTCGAGCTCGTTACGGACTACTCTCGCTGCGCCATACATAGTTGCAAGCATATATTCGAATATTCGTAATACACACAGAACACATACGTTAGTCTCGTTCCCACATACGTATTCTTTTCGGCGGCTATATATGGTAAGTAAGTAAGTATATATGCCAGCTGTACTGTACTGCACTGTATCCGTAAAGAAATATAGGGTTTATAGCGAGAATGCTTTTACGGCCGCGGGTGGCATATCCTTGGCACGAGAACAGCATATCTATAGCTATCTTCTGTCCACCTCGAGAGCTCGAAATTCTGATATTCAAAAGAAAGAAGTAAAGGAATCAAAAGAGCTTAGGCCTGAGGATCCGGAGATCTAGAGAGGAGGTCCAATACTACCTATTTAGGCCCACACACATCGACTTCCGCTTTTGGAGTATCGCCTAGCTCTTTGGTAGTCTCGCACTAGCGCCGGAAGCTGGCGGATCTTAGCGACGGAAGCTGGCGGGTCGACGTCCGGGGGAGTTTGCGGCGTGTGGGGTAAAAAGGAAATACAAATGGTCCGAGCTCGCGATCGGGGGACAGGTACTGGACAAGTGCGCTGCGTCGCGTGCGTACGTCCGCAGCTAACTAGGGATGAGGTCCGAGTAGGTAGTACGGGAGATCTTGGGTTTTTGGATTAGGTTGATTTTGAGTAATATTGATGGGAGAGGGTCATGATCAAGAATTCGAAGCAATGCATACATGGTTGGAATATTAATGTTTGCAATGAGGTGGTTAATTAGCATGTAGGTATTGTAAGTATTGTAAGTAGCTATACGTCGGCACGCTGTGGGGATTCCTTTGCAATTGGTCAATTGCATTTCCATTGGGAAGAAATACAAAGGAAAAAGTCCCCGCTGTGGGGTGTAGAGAATTCGAACGTTAACGACAAGAATAAGTAATCTACTATGTATGGATGGGCTCAAGGGTTGACCTACCTGATGTATGGAGGGGCCTAGAGGCCGACGTCGAGTTAAGGTTATGATTAGGGTATAAGGCTTAGGTCGTAGGGTAGTCTTAAGCTTATCTTACTTACTGACATCTTACTTCTACGAGTAAGTATCCTTTTTTTCTTTCTTTAAAAGTGTTACGCTTAACCCAACGCGATTACGCTAAAGTAGGCGGAGGTGTTCACTTTTACATGACCCGTCGCTGACCATGACATTTCTAACCGTATGTTTGGGTCAACCAATGTTCCTGGGAATATTAATGAGCATCGTAATGTAAATTTATCGAAAGTCGACTACAGCATCGCTATAGGTATATCCATACCAATATCCATGGCCGCATATATATACTCGATCTTGTGCTAGATCTCCAATATTAATTTGCTCGGAGACTTTGAAAGTTCTTTGAATATCATAAAACCCAGAATCAATATTAATCCGAACGTTAACACCTGCTTCTTCAAACCCGATCCGACCCCACGGACACAAACCCCAGACTTTAGCAGCAAGAAAAAAATATAAATATCCGTATTTCAAGCATCCCCCCCCTCCCCCTCTCCCCTCTCCCCCCCTCCCCGGCCTCTGTAGCTACATCCTCTATCACTATACCGGATATAGGGTCTAGGCTAACGGACATATGCTTATAACGCATATGCCTACAACGAGAAGTCATCCATAGCCAATTGGCCATGTTGTTGAGAACTGGTTAAGTACTTAGCTATGCGCTGGGGGGGGGGGTGCGATTTCAATATCATGATCTTGATGAATCGATTACCATAATCATGATCAATTCATAGATATCGAAGAATTAAACAATAAGTATTCCCATCCCCCACCAATCCAATTGATGCAACATCTGGCATGGAAATAATCACTATACGTATACTGTTCCCGGTTACACGTAGTTATACTCAGGAGGAAATTCAACTCACAAAAAAATGAAAACTCGAGCATGCGTACTCCTCTTCTAGATCTGGGCCGCCTCCAACCATCCCTGAGAGTCTGCAGAAAATATGTCATGGTCATGAGAAAAAGAATTGATTCGGATATCGATGGTGATCATGACGCATAAGCCAACCGCTCATCAAACGCATACAGTATCTACATGCATCAATTGGGGACGTGGTTTAGTGGTATAATTCCTCTTTAGCATAGAGGCGGTCCGGGGTTCGATTCCCCGCGTCTCCATACTTTTTGCGCTTTTTCCTATCATATTGATTTTGTTTTGTGGCTTTGTTTGTCTCGCCTCGTGGGTCAAGACTGCCTCGAGGGATCTGGAAAGTGTGGGTGTGGGTGTGGGTTGTTGAGTTTTTCAACACTCGATAGGAGGGGTCCTAAGCTGGGACTTTACCTGGGCACGAGACTAATTTACGGGAACGAGATGAACGTTAATATTGCGAGGCTGTATGCATAGCTATATAGAATTCGACCCCTACGAATTCGCGAAGGGACGATATCGAGGTAGCTACCGTATGTACCTTAGGTACCTACATAGGTAAGTACGTATGCGATTTATGTATGCGGACGATGTCGTATAAATTCAAGTAATTATAGGCATAATTTTCCAAGCTCATCTAAAACAGCATTCTCGTTATAAGCGTGCGAATCTTGGCTTCAAATTTGATGATGGCGAGATGCTTATACTGCTATTGGAGGTCATCTATACCTCTGCCATCTGTAATGGATGATACAATATACGTATACAATTGAAATAACATAGGTATCGTATTTAGTTTTAGGAATATGATGTTGTACGAGCATATTTACATGTAGATATCTCCCGCTATAATGAGCATACTCGAGATGAGCATAATACTGCTATAAGCATCATATTCGTTTATAACGGGAAACGGGAGTCATCTGGATAAGGTATGCTAGCTATAGGTATGTACCGGTAACTTATCTTCAATATTTAAGTTAGTACGGAGAGGTCGATAAAGTGTCAAACGTTGTTGACTGTCGACAACTCGTTTCCCCAAGAAAGGTGCGTCGAGTAAATTTAATGGTAGAAGTGATTATCCATTTTCACAGCGCATCAAGAATTCCACATATTCTATTTCACAAGTATAATTCCTTGGGTGGCCATTGTCATGATACGGCGAGCGCAGCCGCTGAGCGACGTGTACACATATTCACCGTCACCATATTGCACATCAAAGCCCGGTTGGCTCAGTCGGTAGAGCGTGTGACTCTTACTTTGTTTCCAGTTATGGTTACAGATAAGTTATCTCAAGGTCGCGAGTTCGAGCCTCGCATTGGGCTATGTTTTTTTCCTGATCATTTTTTTTATTCCAATAATATCGCCTGTGTCGTCAGTTAATATCTCCACTTCGGTAAACCTCATCCTCATCGTCCTGGTAACGAGACTACGTCGTGGTTACCACTGTTAGCGGGAATATTTTTCAATTTCGGAAAGAACTTGTTGTTTTTAGAATACAATCTAAGGAGAACAAGTTTCAAAATGCTTCGAGCCAAAATTGTCGCTTGATTATGATAATTTGCAATCCATGTATGTTCCCATATTCTTCATGCAAACAGACGTAAACACTACTTGGGCATGTATACATTGGCTGTAACTACAAGGTAGTACCTAGTCCAGATGAATCCCATTATATGTAAGCATGCCGCGCCGGAGGGGCAGCAAATTGTATTATAGTAGCTACCTATAGCCGACTACATTGCCCAATCATATCCCGAATGTATATGGATCCCACATAAACTGTTTGAGTATAGTTCACAATTTTGACGGCTGAACTGATTTCCAAATTCACTCTAAACTCATGTGGACTTAGCCCCAGATTGATTCATTCTTGCTTATATAGGAAGTAGCTACCTGCTAGTGGTGCGGTGATTGGGGTTCAACGATGAGCACATTTGAGCTTTGAGACTTCGCAATTTATTCAAGAGCGCTTTTTTCTTATTTTGTATTTGCTTATAGCGGGATTTGCCGGTGAGGAGGCACGCATACTCATGGAGTAGTCGAGCGACACTTCCTGATGATCGCTTTGCAAATGGGAGACAACACTGTAAATGACATTTAGCCATTTCCACTATAAGCATCTTTGGTAGTATAGTGGTCAGTATTTTCGCCTGTCAGGACACGAATGTTTCCAGCGCGCGAGAGACCGGGGTTCAATTCCCCGCCAAAGAGTCTTTTTGCTTTTGATTCTGTTTTCCCATTCCTCAAGAATTTATATTTTACGCAATGGAGGAACAATCTTGATGGAATTGTACAATAAACATTTCGCTGTTACAATATATTCAAAAGCGAAATGTTCTAACTCCTAGGAACACTTCTATCTCATTAATATCTGGATAAAACTTTTCTCATTGTTCCTCTTTTTGTGGATATTAGAGAAGTTTTGTTCACACAAGATCTACTACGACGTAGATGTGCTCTGGATTCCGAGGGGCATATTTATCTCCAACCAGGCTACTCTGCATACTTGACTCACCAGAAAATAGGTTAAGTACCTACCTAGTACATAGGGTATGTTAGGCTGGAGATGTACTTAACTGCCGCATTGAAAGCCTCGGTGCCTGAATTTCGTAACATTTTTCTACTCCAGCCTCAATTTAAAGACATCCATCATTTGGAGTGTACTAGAGCACTCTTGCGCCGTGGGCGAGGTTATTTAGACTGCATTACTGGATCATACCACCTGTATACGTATTTTATGTGGTTTGCATTAATACCACTTTGTCGTTATTACCCCGTGAATTGGATTTCACAGCTTTCGAATGAAGGCATGAAGGCCTGGAAAATCACGCATCTGTCGGCCTGTGACGCTTGTGGAATCGAAGCATTGCTCTGTCGTGGCGCGAGGATGCATGGGCAATTCCTAGGAGAACTCCCATCATCAAAAATGCGCCATGACATTGATCTTAGGAAAGTGCTAGCCTCGTCAGAACGGTAACGGAGCGAAATATCCTTCCAAAGCTGGCATTCGAAGGCTCCCCTGTAGATATTGAAGTTGAAATTATGCACTGGCTGCGTAACGAATTGCATTGGATTTATGACGATAGTATAGTCTCGGTACTTCTTGGCTTTCTTGATCCAGAAACACCTGAGATAATAACTTTACTATTGCCTTCCCTTACTTCCATCATCTGATGCAACGAAGGTTACTTACTCGCTTGAATATGTAGCTAATTACAACTTGAACTTCCATGACTCCAGCGGACATTAGCCTCTGACCTTAACTATTTTACTTGGCAAGTAGTAATGTTTCAATATTACTTACCAGAGTATGGCTGGATCATGGAGCAGACGCCAATGTCCCGAATTCACATGGCATGCCACCCTTAATGGTCTCTGTTCAGGTTAATTACCCAGATTAAAACATTATACACCTTCTAGTAAGCAGGGGAGCAGAAGTCAACCTTGTGGACCGCAAGGGCAGAACAGCAGAGAAACATGCAAAAAAGGCAGGACATCAAGCATGGGCGAAAAAGCTTCGCGAATGGAAAAATGGTAGTCCGAAATATGGGGAGCTCAAGCACCATAAACGTGCCTGCAACCTTCTTGAATTCATCAGATCGGAAGAGTGCTTTTCATGGGCGCACGACTCGAATCTTGATTTGCAATTCGGGTTCCTTGTTTGCAATTTTTCACATATATCCGGAGCCCGCGGATCCTCCTATGCATACATGTCTTGTGAAATTCTGAAGGTTCCTGTGAGGCTCCAATCAATCTGAATTCAATCGCGAGTTACCCGCGGTATACGAGGTAGGAATGTAGCAATCCTCAGGGCATAATTTTTTCCATATTCGTTCTAGAATACCGTAAACGCTGGTGCATAAGCAAGTATCTATTGGCAAGCATGTATTGCTCTACAAGCAAGTATCGTTTGGTGTGAATTGACCCTTTTTAGTATCTTTTCAGCCTACCTCAAAAAGCACAAAAGGTCATAAGCATGTATGCTTATGCACCAGCGTTTACGGTATCATCTTTGCCGTATGTGGCTTCATGATCCGATCATGTAATGATTTAAATGTGCGGTTTTCAAATATAAGTAGCGCGGAAGGCTATACATATTGATACTCGGATATATTTCGCACCGGTTGCGCCCATAGCCTGGTTGCGCCCAGATCGAGTACGAAGTAGAGATTCGGTAGTGTACTTTACCTGGAGAAGCTTCAAAGCCAGAATCCTATTCCCCTTGTGATTAGGAGACGACTTATAATTATCGCACATGATAACGAAAAAAAGCTGGATACCAGTCAAAAAGGCATCAGGGTATCCGGATATACTGGTGTCCTGTTTCAAATGCTCTAACAAAACGTACAGCATTACTAGGTAGTTAGGTTGGTCATCAATATTGAGGCGGAGTATTGTCGAGCCCAATGTAGAGCTGAGATGCAACGCTGGGATCATGCAGAGGGGTTCGTACACCTTGGCGCCACAAGCAACCCCCAACAAAAGATATGCAAAGCATGCCCTTGCGCCCCATGCGCATCTTGTATAGATCCCCCAACGTTTGACCGAGTAGAGTATACGTAAATCGTAATTCATGGAGGTGGATTAAAACTCGAGTGCACCTTGTGGTTGACTAAAATATCTAGCGGGGTTGGTGATTTCCGAATTTCTTAACTTCCGTCACACTAAAGCTGCCCGTATATACCGTGTAATTATGGATAAGTCAGCCAGTCCAGTTTAAATTTGTTATCCTCCGGGCATATAATCGAAACAATACGGTATCCCTTTGCAAGGCGGCTGAGACTTTGTGCGAAATTCATTGCCGACCAAACTTTACCATTTCTGGGCATTACCACACATGGCAACATGAGTTTTAAACGTTGGCCAAAGCACAACTCAGAATAAAATATACTTCATCAATTCTCGAGATTACTCTAAATCCAAACCCTGGTCAGTCGGCACTGATATTCTCACAAAGTTTCAGCCGCCAAAGGGATAGAGCCTCAAGTTCTTGAGCGTTGGAGAACATGAGCTTTGTAGTGATTGAAATTTAATGCAAAATAATTTCCTGGGTGGATGAATATGAGATGGTATTATTATGCCAAGGCAAAGGAGTTCAAAGGCATTACCATGACTGATGGGAATGGGATTGCGTTGACTTTTATCATTTCCTCGCTTCTCATATAAGGTAGGCATATATACTTATAAGTCAGTATGTCGAGAGTATATCTGATTCGCGAGACCAAGCTTTATCGGATGTAACCTTTTTCCAGGGTCAACGTATTGAAGGGACAAACGTTGATCTTAAAAGTGTTGTGTGGGTTAGATGCTATGTATCGCTGATCATTGAGCTTTACGATGGCCATAATTGGACTTTCCGCCTTTCCCAGGCCGTTACCATCACCCCTGTAAGCCTAAGCCCAGTCTCGATGTAAGCCTTTGAATTCAACTGGAGGCAGATCATGACCTACTCGAGTAGGCACACTGCGAGGCGGTGTCGCAAGAAACTAGCCAAGATTACGGCATGCATTGGGAACCATATGACAGGGCGCACCTTCAGCTACATGTTGGACATGAGGAAGCCGCGCCACACTCGGGATCGGGTCTTTACTATACTGAAGTGTATTTGATATCATCAAGAACAAAGCCCTTCTTGATGTTAGACGAAGAAGTTTCGAGTGATCGCCAAAAGGAAGTCAGAAATTCCACCGCTACCGCCATTGTGAGAACTGGAAATCAGTCATCCGGAATCACCTATTCCGATGTCTCCGGCGTGCTTGCTTATCTGGACTGGCGAGGGGCGGATTGCACAGTTTGAGGAGGGCGATCTCGAAAGGCTTCGCAGATATCTTTCGAAAGTTGATTATAATCATTTGAGGGTATGTCGCATTAATCAATATGCAGTTGTCAAAATCAACCGCAATGACCGATCAAAAAATGCATTATTTTATGGATCCGCATAGCTAATATATACTTTGTTTTGGAAAGGAAACTTCGATTTGGTATACGTGAGCAACATCCCATCCTCTTTTACCGATCATTTGGCAAATGGGATACATCTTTCGGCATATCTCAGCATTTATTAATGAATTAGATAATGAAATCCGGATCCTCTGTACATCAGTATTAATTTTTTTTCAAAAAAAAACATGTTAGATATAATGATCGCCTGCCCTCGAGCTTCATCCATGAACTATGTATTATATATCAAAAACCATTCAAGGATTATAGGGTTTCGCTGCCAATTCTGCCGTCGATTCCCTCAAAATCTGTGGAGTGGAAAGTAACGGGTCGGAGTCACATTTGTCACTGCGAGAATTGCAACGTTTCCCGATTGGCGACC